CCCTGAATATGGATATAATGTCTTAGTCGTCAGTGACCTTCTGTTTCTTGCCATGACAAGCACACATTTCCCTGTTTGGACTTCAATGTTTTTCACGGAAATTCTGATAATCAGAATCCTGTCTTCCGGAAAAGCGCTCTGCCTACCTAGCTGTCAACAGCTAGGTAGCAATTTGCTTTGTTGGTCTACGGTTCTGTCACACATGGTTTCGGAACCCCAGCGTCAGTGTTTGATAACCTAAAGTTGCACAACAGCTAAGTTTGTGCTTGACATTTCTTCGCAGCGAACCGTGTTACAGTTTACATCCATAGACCAACCCAGTTAAAGGCAAGGTTTCTACGACTTAACACTGTGCATTTTATCGATCGTCGAAGGAGAAACCTGGTGCAGCTACTAAAATGATCTACTTCTGGCGCCCGATCTTAAATCAAACAGAAACTCAGTGTGATGAACATGTGCTTGTCAGAGGAAAACAAAAACCGTTTGTAGCTCAGCGCAGATGTTTCGATGGACGCACTCGTTGAAACTGGTGCTTACATAATTCGTAGGTGATTTAGAACCTATGGCGCTGCAGTCAAGTTAGATTTGCGGAAGCTTACTACTGAAACAAACTGAAAGAATACACTTTGAGGCAACAAATAAGTCAGGCAATTTGATAAGGCTTACGACTGGTTTGAGCAAGGCCGCAAAACCATCGACAAACGAAGCACCAAAAACTTCGGAAAAGCATAGTCCATTTGGGTGCATCTTGTTCGGGTAACTCAATTAATGTAAATAACTGCTTCATTTCTCTCATCAGTGCTATAACGAGTGCCTAAATTAGGGAATTTTCGTTTCACCGCAGAATAAGGGATGTGAGTTATGCTGAAGCTGATTTTCTGGTCACTAGATGTTGCTTTATTGCGGCAGTTTTTGAAGATATCAGTAGTTTCGCGAACTGCACGAGCGATTCAGCCAAACCATGGTCACTACGGAATTTGAGCTGTGTAGCCTCATACACTTTTCAATACAATTTTACCCATCCTTCCACACTTTTGGAAGAACTGGATGAACGAATCAATGAATATGCATTCGCCGTAGAAGAAACGCTTGACAAACATTCAGTTTTATTTATTGAGCTCCAGATAGTGAACTTTATCTAGAAACCAGTACCACCATTTTCAATGTTGTTATTACTACCATCATCCTTGGCTTCGCCATCATCTTCATCATTAGTCGCTTCTGTGTTTTACTGCGGCACAAACAAGTCAGTTCATTCAAAGTTTGATGATAGAAACAGAACAGGAAGCAATAAGAGAGAGAAGTGCTAGACAACATAGAACCCTTATTGTGCCTGTTCAACCAATCTGAAATAACACTGAGTTTGCAGCCGTATTTTGAAGCTGGTCTGCTCAACCTCAGAGAAAGTAGCCTTCATCCGTTTTTAGCGGCAGACAATACGAAATTTCCGGGCCGTCTGCTGAGCCATAGTATGTCCAAAATTAACTTCTCTGGAATCTTATTTTGGTAGAGAAAACGGTATCCAACAACTCAACATGTGCACTAAATGATTAGACACTTTTGGCTTAAGCCATTTGATTGAGTTTTAAAGTAAAAAAAATGTCGCCTCGAGAAATCCACCTTTTATATGGTACTACACACGGGGCTTTGTATACAAATTAAAGACGAATGATAGGTTTCCGCGAAGCTCTCCCTTTCGTGGTGTTCACTGTTTAGGAAAACTTGACGCTGCTTCACATTTAACGCACCCTCTTACTCATCCAAGAGTAATTTGAAGTTTCTTAACTTCAATAATATTTGGCGGACTATAATCAAACATATGATGATATCTCAGATGCTGTGTCTGCAGGAGTTGCATCGTGCAGGCGTAGAGCACAACCCACATGTTAATTTAATACTCACGACTGTCATGAATAAGCTACACGTACGCTGCATGTGGTGACAGCTGGTGAGCGCGATCTTGATATACGGATGTTGCAGATGTTTTTCAGTCACAGCGCCACTATCGTATGAATTCCGTGAGAGAGTTTAGACGACTGTTGTTTGTTCGGCTCAGCATGCTCCCAACTCATGGGTAAGCAGAAAAACAATTCCATCCAAATGGCATCTCTTATTGAATGGCGAAGCTTATTTCAGAACTATTATCGTTGTTCAAGTTCCCGTACATTGAACAAGTTAGTCATTTCCTTTGCCCCGAATCAAGTCACTAATATGGTGGCCTGTGAGTGCTCGTCAAGTTTACTCAGACTTAGAATTGTGGCTCAACAGCAGGAGATTTTCATTACATTTAGGAGCATGGATGACTAGTGAATAACATCATAAACTTATATCGGGAGAGTCCCGGCTTGTGTCTCTTTTAAGTGCTTCGGAACTGTCTGATGTTGTGCGAGTAATAAAGAAAATAAAGCTTTTCATAGCAACACCTCAGCTCTCTTCAGTGTGCTTATACTACTTGGGTGTGCTGCTCCCGAAGTTGATAGGTAACCGTGCCACTTTATCACAGTTCTTTTGGCCACACTTTGGCAATAAGGGCTCTTGAGCATGGTGAGTTGCCCAACAACAAGTTTCAACGGGACTGTACATCTCACAACCTAAGTAACGATCGAACACTTCTTGCGAATAAATCCATGCCTTGGAGCTGATATTCCCCGAGCTTGCAAGCACTTTAGTGATTGGACCCCACGCAAGTGTCTTTAGTCAAAATACATGATTTTCACTCAGTGAGGCTGGACAACTGCAAGAAAACAGTTTCAGGGAAACAGAGTTCCTAAAGACAGTTGCTGGTCTTCCAGCTTTTTCGGAAAGCAGCACAAAAATGTACATTTGTGGCTGTAGTCTCCCGTAAGATGATATTCTTATCCGAGGAAACCTCAGCTATTCCTGCTAGTGTCTCCCTGCTAGGCGACGGAGATTGTGCTGCTCATGTTAATTCAGTGACCGTGCCATGGAACAGGTACTCAGTCATAGCCGAATTCCCAAGTTTATTTCAAGTGAATCCCAAGTCTGACATACCCGGTTCTTGCGGTCATAAATCCACTGGAGACATTAAAATCGATGCAATCAAATAAATATTTAAGTAATTTCTTTTCTAGTACGAACGAAGCGCCAGAAGCGATTGATGAATAATAACTAACGATGGGGAATGTTAATTTAAAAAGTCCTACGGACTTGTCACACATGCCATTTATGCCGGCCCTTAGTTCACTTCATTATTTCGCCTCCGCGGCACATGGACGCGGTATTAATCAACTCCTTGCTCACCTTGGATACTAGACGGGATTCTATTGCCAACTTACGTTTTCTCTCAGTGCACCACTCAAATCAACCCTACTTTTAAACCCAACTCTTGTACTCAGCCCCAAGTTTGCTAGTCATTGCTACGTAATCACCGTCATTCCTAAACAGCCAGTGAACACCCACTGTTGTTTGACCCACGGTCGTTGATCCACTAATCAGTGTGTTACGTGTTGCTTTAAATTGGTCCAATTGAGCCCGCTTTTTTGATGGATTCAACGAGTGATTACCAGTGTGCTTTATTTTTAATTAATCTGCTAAATGTCAGAGTATCTCGGCCTCAGGGTGACTTGCAAAATTTATTAACAGTTACAGTTTGGGTATGGTATGATACATGTGGCTATTTGAAAATTCTCGAAAGCATTTATTTACATCAAGACGCCTAAAATGCTCTGGTCTTGCCTGTCTTTTTTGATGGGAGTTCGTGATATAAGGGTTGTATCCTTAGTATACAAACAGTAGGGAGTAGCTTAGGTTTGGTCAATGTTTATGTGATTTATGTTTGTGATTCTCCTCCAAGAAAAAGCCACAATCTTCTGTCAGCTCTAAAGGCACTGAATCATCTGGCTACAGGAGAATGTATAACCCATCAGAATATGGTGTTGTGTCCATTGATTTTCTCGTACACGGAACATCACACAGCATGTAATACATGGGGTGAGTAAATGCAGTCCGTGTGTGTCCAGTATTCCTCCCATGGATTTTCCTTCCTACAAATGTCGCATATGCTATAGCCTGATTATGGATGAACCAAAGTTGAGTTTATTCGGTATTACGCTTGCCGTCCGTCTTTCAAGGATTCAGTTGGCTAAATCAGTTGTTCAGGTTTTTTTAGAGCCTGCATTTTTTCATACGAACCGAAAAATCTCTTCGAACCAACAAGGGTATTCCTTGAAACGTTCACCCTGCTGGGAACCAGTGCCAGATCTTAGGCTACGATGTAAATAGCCTAGAGTTTCAGCTGGTTCGCTTCACACTTTTGGCATTTTTACTTGAAATCAGTACTCTACGAACTATTCATCTGCTACTCGGGTAATCTCCACAAATCTCCAGCTCGGTATTCAGCTGTGAAAAAATGTCGGTTCAAAAAATTTGATTACGTACCTCAGCTCTTAAGCTGGGATCGGCAGAAGGCAGCCAGAGTTTGCGTCAACCTCATAATTACTAGTTTCAGATCATTGTTTGCATGATTCGTCAGAATAGCTTGTGTTTAGTCTAGTTGTTGTACGAACTACTACCGATATGCGTGACCTTCATTGGCGTCAGACGGACGGCTGTGGTCGATATTTAACCAACTGCATGAGATGCTCTACTACCCATACCCAGACCAATACTCTAATGAAATATTCTTTTAACCAACGAAACCGAGGATCTGAAGTAAACCTCTTCAAGTTTTCCATAGTTAGTTGGACATAATCTAGATGCTGGGTGTGCCTACCCGATTGTGCAACGTGGTGGAGTTCGCTGTGAACACTGAGGGAATTAAATAGCATGTCCCTAAGTCAGGTATGTATGAATGTATGAAATGGTAATGCTAAACTGTTATTCACTTTGGTTCTCATATCATCTCGAAGTGACTAAACTTTTCTCCTTCAATACCAGCAATTCTGCTTGCGCTTCCCATTTATAACATCGAAATATCTAGTTTTATTTACACATTATATAGTTAGAGTGTAAACTAATGTGTTTCTCATCTTTCTTTTTAGCCATAAATATTCAACGTTTGGATTCAGCAAAGACGATGATAGATGGTGGAAGTCGTGCAGTATTACCGCTCGGAGCAGTCCTCTCAAGTGCTGAAGCCTCGGCAGCTCGCCCTTCCATTTACTCGCCTCCGCCAAGTACTATGGATGACATGGTCAATAAACAACGTGCTAAAGACACAAGTGATGTGCTAATTCAAGGCCACCAACCAAGACCAGAACTTTCTTCATCCACAGTACAACAACGCTCATCCATCACCGGATATAGTCCGAGTCCATCCAGCAAACTGCTGAATGGTTCAAGCGAGACTGGTGGAGCTCGATATGCAGATGCATCGCAAGCGGCCCGTTTGTTCTCGCCGAGTTGCTTGAGCGCAAAGGCAGAAAGTGAACCAGGCGAGACCCAGCCCTACCGCGAAATACCAATCCAGTCATCGTACGTGAGGAAAATTGCTCTGTCAGTGGATGTGCCTACTTATCAACCCGAGGACAGATTAAGAGCTGGGAACCCAGGCACGGAAGAACAATCTATCTACCCGTTTACCCGGCTGGACACGGGCAGTGTGCACACTCGACAACGAACTAATATTATCACGGTAGAAAATATGAGCTCGGTGCGACCTGTAACCTCGGAACAAAGCTATATACCCAGCTTTACAGATGATATACAGGCTGCTTCACAAAGGACGAGTCGGATACTGCACGGCAAGGCCGAGCTATTAGATGCCCCCACTAAGCCTTTTGCTGACACTCATGTTCCGTTGTCAGTGTGTCGTGACAACTCGCATATCGACCTGGAAGAAGCACGTATGGATTCATTAGCAGTACGCGTATGTGGAATGGAACTGTCTGATCCATCACGAGCGAATTCACACCATGCAGCAGAAGTAGAACATGATCGCGACCAGACTGTTTTCAGCCCATTATCGAAAAATACTAACCTTAAGCCAATGCACAGCCAAGTGGAATTGATGCGGTCACCAAAGGCAGTCGCTCCGGTACAACTAGATTCGGTAAGCTCGGCAAACTGTTCCCAACAGCGCATCCAGAGTCCCAGTCCACCGTACTCGGTAACTCGGTCGACTGGCTTCAGGTCTTCGCCTCCGTTAATCCGCCCCAAATGGCAGTTAAAACCAATTCCAACAGACAGTGAAATCAGAGAACGTCTGAGAAGTCGAAGTAGACAGAGAACGGATACAAGGCAGTCACGCCCGGTACATCCTGAACTAACAGGTTCGTATAGACCCCGCAGCTCTCGTTCTGACTCTCGATACCGCTGCACAGACTTAGACTCAGCAATTGCTGAGTCAAAGGCCGAAACCAGTCCGTCTAAAACGCAAAATCTTGAAGCGTTTTCAGATACAAAGCAATCGGCTTCTCTGTTTGATTTGGGTGAACACTTGCGCAAGAACACAAAATTATCCTATTACCACCAAAATGGCAGCACAGCACGCTCATCGGGCACTGAAGACGCAACAACAAGAAAGTTCTTCGGTGACGCGAAATCATATAGCTCCCTCCTGGAAACAGATATTGACACTGGGGAAAACTTTGAAAGACCTATCATTTTGGAAACAGACGTCGACAACCTAGACACGCTGATAAATGGACGAAGCTTTACCGCGCCCATTGAGGACTACTGTCAACCGAAAACCCGCAGTCTTTTTAATCTGGCACACAGTTATACACCAGGGCTTCATCGCCGCCAAACTACAATGGATAAAAGTCCCGGCGTGATAGAAATCAACACTCATTCGCCAAACGATTTGGGTGACAACTGGCAACGAACCAAAAGTTTACAAGGTTTGACCCACCGTGATCGGGAATCTCCCACTCCAAGACAAGATATATCACATCAAAATAAAGCCAGTAGTATTGGAGCGAAGGGTCTGATTGAAAGGTTACGTGAACGGGCTCGGTCGACACATGAGCTGCGCATCGCACAATCGCTGACAAAACTACGAATCCCTGAATGGTTGGATAAAGCGGAATGCCTAAGTCGATCGGTAGTAGAGGGTGCAGGGAGCACGGATCGTGACAGGCCAAGACAGAAGGAACTAACATCGGAGCTGACACGAACCTTGTCTTCAAAGGAAGATGACCAAGGCCACTCCCGTTCTAACTTGTCAACCCTGAGATCTTTATCAAGCGTTCGAAAAGTGGAGGGACCCTTTTCACCCAAATGGCTACCCAAATCAACGACTATTGAGACTGTAGCCGAACCCACTAGACCAAGGGCAGGAATCTCCCATCAACCACGGTTCATTCGACCAAGTCAGGAACTTCGAGAACGTGGAGAAAGTGCATCTAGACTTAGGCCAATTAGGTCAAAGTTATACAGTTCCATGAAGAGTGTGGCAGGGGCTCAGAGCAGCCTGGAGAAAACTGCCACTGATCTTCGTCCTCAGGTAGCCCCACGCCCCCTCAAGTCAATAATAGTTGGTCAGGGAACAGAAATGAAATTAAGTCCCCAGGATTTTGTCCCAAAAGAAGAACAAGTCTGGGGACATCAGCATCGACAGGTACTTGCCAACACAAATCTGCTTGCCTCCGGAACTCCTAACACACAACCTGCTTCCAACCACTTTGATACCATGAACCAGGTAAGTCCGAGAATCGGTGGAAGCTTACTGGATACGGCATATCTGGGACATGCTGGTTCAAAGGAAGCAGGAAGAACTCAAGAAGACATAAAGCCGGCAGACTATGACTCTGGAACAGAACATTCGGGGGACCTGACGGAATCAAACGTCCTAAAGCCCACCTCTAATATCATAAAACATGTTGAACCTGTGCACACGCTTAACGACACTCAAGCTCAGCACATTCAGTCTAATCGGATGGAAGTCCACGATCGCAGATTGCGTAAGAGTCCTGCTGATCGTTTTGTTTACAGTAATTTTGATTCTGACAGTGGTCCAGAAATTCAGTCTCCGTGTGATGATTTTAGTGGAGATCAACCCTGCTCAGACTGGCATTCAATAGATGCCGAAGGTGATCCTGAGAGTGAAGCAACAGATGGCTTAGATCAGATATCCGACCTGACTTGTCTCACATCCTTGGTTGACACATGTGCGTCAAGACACCAGGCGTTATTAGCCAACAGACCGTCTGCTCTCGAACATTTGCTAACCAGTCTTGGTTGGTGGCCTCCTGCTCCACAAACCGAACATCGCTATCTTCCGCCCACAGCTGCCGAGGCTATTTCCATTGCCGCCCACGAATTCGACGTTGACGATGACTCTCACCGTACTGAGTTTATTCAATTGCTAACAAGTCCGGAAAGTCGAAGACCGATTAACCTTGGAGAATTCGCATTAAATCAGCTGTCTGGTGCTGTCCAGCGGAAGCAAGAAGACGGGTTACTTTATATCAGTTGTGGCAGATCCGAATGCACAAAATCACCCATACAAGTGAACCAAGCTATCGACTGGTGTGCCTGCCCCAACTGCTACACACTGTATTGCTCTTCAGTTTGTCGCGCGATCGATCGACGAGCAGCTCACGATCATCCCACCATTTGTTCCTTTGCTCGGGCTAAACGTGTTTGCAATCGATTACTGCGCAATCTCGCTGCAGGTCAGGTGACTGGTCTCACAGCATTGGCCAAGACGGGGATGGCTCGACTAGGACGTGGAGGTATTTTGCTTCCATTTGCGCTTGTGCAACATGCCGAACTATTCTTACAAAGGGCCAGATCTTACTCATTCGTGGCAAAAGAGAGCATTGATAACAGTCTGGAATACGCTTCATCTTGTTGGGAAAATAAACATCTACCTAGTCCTGGTGGTCTCATGTCTCCGCCGCTTTATCTAACTTTGAAAGAGTTGGAGGAGCTTGACTCTACAGTTGCCAAACCTTGTCAGTCCTATAATCCCTCGATGAGTATGGTGTTGATTGTAGTTGTTTGCGCCTACGAACTCATTGCTAGGTCCGATGGACGGCCTGTACACCTTTTTAAGCAGAGCTTAATTATTCCATTCCCGGTACATAATGCTCCCTGTATAAGCAGCAGCCAACCAGGCTCCCCCGCAGAACGACCAGTCAAGCTTCCTCGTACCGTGCTTTCCAAACCAGTGTTACCGCAGACAAATGGACTTCTGAGTAAACCAGATCGCCAGGCTGCTGCAGCCCGAGAAGCATACATGATTCGCCTACAACGGGTGTTGCGCGAACGAGGCGTTAGTTTGCGTCATCATCACCCAGAAATTTACACACAGATCGCTAATTATGTAGAAACTGGAGTGCCTTTTGCTCCCATACGCATTGTCTTTCATGATTTTGTCCTACGCGAAGAAGTTTTATGTACAATTCAACCGATGTGTGATCCGCTATTGCAGCCTACAAGGCAAATGCAATCCCGACAAAGACCACCTAATGAGCTATACGAAGAAGTTGTTCTAGAAGCTCCACAACGTTGCAGTGCAATCACTGAGCATTCGCCTACGACTTCGCAAGGGCATATAGCTCGTCCCTTCCCTGAAACCGATTTCTGATAAGAACACTTCCTGATGATATTCTACAACTTCCAGTGTATAGCTTTTCACGAACTTTGCATGTACACAAGTAACACCGTTTGAAGAATTTTTGTTTTAAATACGACCCATTTTTTAATGAACTAAGCAATACTCAGCGCGCCTGTATAGGTATTTGATTTCTTCAAACACAGATGGTACTTGAGTACAGGATGCTTCCATTCGTGCATTTCAGTCAAACTTGATTTTTCTGCTAATACAACTCCGCAATCTGCATCCATAGTCCACAATGCAGGACAGTCTTAAACGATTCCAGTGACGCTTGATTATGGGAACCAAACCTATGCCTCCAAACCCTTCGGGTTGAGTTTTTTGTTGGCTTCAAGATAACTAGCCGAAGAACTACAAGTGTCTAATGGTTGCGATTCAGCTGTCTCAGAAACTACTTCCTATTTTCACCACTGTAATCTTAGCAAGTCTTTGATCTACGAGTCTCGAAATGTTACCCACTCCTTCTCTACTTGTATTTCGGTTGTTCGTTATTTCTTGTTCCTTACTTGCGCACAGAACCCCCATATTTGCATGTAAAGAGCTTTCCTTCTGCTTCTTGTTACTTTCTTATAAATGCTAGTGGAATCCACAAGTTCACATTGTGAATAAACAGAGCATTTTGGGGGTTCTCTGACAGCAAGCTACTAACTCACGAGTCCAGAAATGACAGACAGATGATCAGTTCCACTACTGTGATGCTCTAGGAGATGCACCAGATTCCTCCAACCTGTACAGAATAAATTTGCAGCGGACGCTTCTAGGTGAAAGTGAAGAATTTATTTAACGCTCGTGGTACCGGCACAGTTTGATGCTTCTTTTGTGGTACTTTATTCAGAAGGAGACCGCATTAGAAGCGAAGCAAAAAGTGGAACCGTATCAACCACTGCGGTTCTTGACTACGAAGATATCAGTCGACTATGGGTAACCGCATTTGTTAATCTATAAAACGTCTATACTTCGGAGGTAGGATTTTCAACGTATGTCAATGCCGACAGTTGTATCTGAAGTTCACAAAAACGGATGCTGGATACATGGAGTAGTAATCATGCAAGATCGTTACACTTAGGGCTACTGAGAGGCAGATGACGCCCGTGAAACCAAATCAAGTGTTCGTTCGGGCCCGTTTGTTGGTGACCGTGTTTCTAGGCTGGAACCGGTAGAGCCAATCATGCTCGTCAGCGTACCCACAGTGCGTGGGGTATCAAGGAACGGAGATGCATGTGACTTAGAAAGAAAAGATATAATATATACCCTTGGTATACACCTCTGTTAGTGGAGGAGCGGATGGGGTTTTTGGCCACCTGGACGCACAAATCGTCCGACCTTGGATCAACCTGAACAAATCTTGTCATGTTACGCCATTTTGCAGCTACTGTCAAATTCATTTGTGTAATCCAGAAACAGTGTAGCTAAAAATAATAGAGTAGGCTGGATATACAACAATATCTAGCGTAGAGCGTCATCGTCAGTAAGTAAATTGGTATGATTCTTCAGCACATCGAATAATTCATACTTTACTTATTAATACCTCTCCTACTGTTTTCAAGGAGGTGATGAATCAGTTTACAAGTATCTCCCTTTCCTTGGCGCTGGTACGCTTCTTGGCACTTTCTCTCTATTGGCAGATGTCCGCACAGAGATATTGATTTAACAGGGTGGTAACTGGTGTGGTGTGTACATCAGCAAATTACTTGAGTAGCATGGGATAAGATATGATTGCAATAACCAGCCTATTAGGCCACTTGTCAAACAAGTCACTCAAAATACCGAATATGTGTTTTCTCCCTCGATAAGGATGGATGGTTTGTAAGGAACCAAGGCAGTCACAAATGACCTTGATGAAGTCCGTTGTTGCTGTTATCGTTGTTGAAAAATGGCACCACCCTGGTGCACCACCACCTGATGCTTTGAAAGCCTAGGACTTGGAAGTTCCACAAGTAGTCAGAAGAGTGCGGTGCTGGTGTTTGAAGACAAACATGACCGAGCGCCAAGCCTTGTGAGAAGCAAGCAAGACAAAGTTATGCAGCAAGGAGTCCGGTGAACTTTATGTTCACTAGTGGGTACACTAAAGGACAATCCAATATAAACTGATAGTCATGATAGTCCAGCTAGTTAAAACCATTTGAGGTATACAGATTTGCGAGAAGGGATTTTCAACCAATTAGAAGCCGGCTTTACATTTAAAAACCAAGCACTTGAGAGTTCTTGATGGACCATCATGTATGAAGGGAGAAGGAGAGCATCAATGACATTTCATAGTCGCAGCGACACCACTACTCTTGTTATGGTAGATTTGGGGTGGTCCATATCTGAACGATTCTGCTAACCATATCTCTGTGATTTAGCTTGCGTGAATGTTCAAATATATCCTGCACTTTAACGGTCCATCTAAGTTGACCATTTTCTCAAATGAAGAACAATTAAATAGAGCGCTTTGATGGAATTTCCTGACTATTGACACGCTTAGCATATATCTAGCACGCCACCTCAGTGACGATCTCCGACGCTATGACCAAATTTCAGCATCAGAACAACGACTTCAATCCATTGATTTTGCAGGTTATCACTATGACCTAGAAGATCAATATTTACAAACGCATAGCCAGTTTAAGACAATCAAATTTTAGTCCGCCGTAATTTTTCAACCGAAAGTCCATGGTAAAGGTAGCACCAATGTTAAAAACACCGACTGCTGTCGTGAATACTCAGATGTGCCCCTTTGCATATGGACAGAGTAATCTGCTTTTTGGGATTTGTGGCTGAATAATCGTCAACTGAGAGACCCGCTGGCACCGGATCAAATACACGTGAAGTGAGTGACTGAAAGATATTGGAGGCGCATGTTAATCGCACTGCTGATCAATTACTTGTGAGAAAACTGTATAGTTTTCAGCTACTAACCAGGGGAGTCTGTTGTTTTGGATCTTCCTGGAGATTTATATGTGCATTAACGCATATCCCAACTAGCAAGAATCAGCAAGAAAGTGCTTTCCGGCTTTCCAGCATTCACTGACTTCATCTGCAAGATCATACCTCGGCTGAATTTTTGCCTTCATCAGAGTGATCGCACTAAATATCAAATGAACTGGCAGATATGTGACTGGGACATGCCGAAATATCAGTATTCTAACCTGTATGAAGAATGCAGTTGTTTTCACCTAGCTCCACTAGAATGATTGGTACGCCAAGCTAAAACAGAGTAGTAACTGTAAAATAGTTCTACTGTATAAACCCTAGATGCTGTACTGTGATAACAAAAACGGATATGCTTATTAGTGCCATTTCATTGTGTTTTGAGTTGTACACGTCTCCATTTCAATGAAAACCGCTGCGATATTTTGGGAGCATATAGCTACAACAAATTTTAGAAATTCGGCTACTCAACTCCAAGAATCTTGTTTTACTGGGTTATTTCCAGGGAGCATTTACACTACAGTATTCTCTTTTGAAAAGAGAATGTAGCGGATTCCGCATGAATGTTGTCAGTAGTTTCCTATGAGAATTCGAAAGAATCGTTTATTTCATTTAGACTTTCACTGGTCTTCTGAGACCCCTTGACAGGGCTAGTTAAATTTCTCAACTGCGAGCATTAGAAGGTACCAAAACACGGCCATCAAGTTATCATCATGGATCTTTCTAGTTGCGGTTAACGTAGGTATTCTGGTGGCCCCACCTTATCGCAATTTTTGAGCAGGACTCTTGATAAAATGCACAAAATTGTACCCGTCTGTTTTGCTAAGTATCCAAACTGTCTAGTAGCCACTTGCGGGATACATGGAATTCGCGTACACATCATTCCCATTTTAAGTCTCCTTGTCTTAGCGCCATTGTTCTGGTGAATTCCTGCCGGAGGGTGGAACAGTGAACATGGATTTCTCTCCCATCAACAGCGCATATCCTTGGTAGTGTCAGGGTTTGAACTCCGGACAGCTAACACGCAAGGCGAGTGAGTTACCACTACTCCACCACAGCGTGCTGTTTGCCTCAGCATTTTTAAGTCTGAACAGGTGCCCGTGTTCACGCTTGAGCTATGTTATTAGTTCGCCCGAATTATTGAACGGCAACCAAATAACTGCCCTTATTGTGATGATCAATTAATTCGTCTGTCAGAACTTCCCAGTCACAGGTCTAGAGTTTGAACCCCGGCATGACTAGAGATATCCACTGCTGATAGCTGTAATAGTAATAGGAGCGAAACTCGAGTCAAATGCTTTATCGCTTTATTGTGGATAGTTGCCCCAGGACAGGAGGGATACTGTTTAAATGAGGGTAGTGTAAAAGCGCATCCAGGCTGTGTCCATCGAGCCTTCAGGCGATGTGACTCTCCAAATATCAGATTGCGGCTTTGTAGCATGACTAGAGAAGGCATAGTGAATGACCCAAGCTTTCCGCCCGGATGAACAAAATGATGAAGGCTTCGCTCCAAAGACCGTGATTTAGAAGTAAATTTGCTCTGGTCTCAAAAGGCCCTAATAGGCGCTCATGAATTAGTCAAGTGAAATCAGCGACCAAACGCTGATTTGTATCCCTCTGGACTGGTGAAACTCGCCTTGGAGTTAGCCGACCTTTAAAACATTTTTGGACTCACCAAGGCAGGGTGGCTTTTTTCAGGCAAATACGTACTTCAAAACTGTACATACTTGTGGTCATACTCTTGAAATATGTATAGAACGAAAAGAAAAATCTCCCATGTTATTGTTCGTAGCCAAACAAATGACCCAGTTAAATCGTTTGGAGCAATCGTCAAACACAAGTTACTGAAGCCCGTGACAAAGGAAACCTGAGTAGATTTTGCCATCCGGTTACCTGGAAAGTGTTAATTACGGGCCCTTTGGATACACTAGGCTTTTGCTAATTTCATGCTACCTGGATAGATAAAACACCATTTAGACCAAGCTGTTTTCTCATTGGAATTGTACAGCAACACCGTCCTCAACAAGGGGAGAGTGGAGATCACATTTTATCAAAAATTGCCTTGGTGCACTACAACGGAAATTTATTTTGGAAGTTCGGTGCTAACGGCTACAACCGTGGATTTCCAAGTTGGTTCTTTATGACAGTAAAACATTCGTCATTATTATTAGAGATACACTTATACGAGTAAGTACTGGTACGAGTGGTTTCCTCATATATTCATTTGTGGGCTTCAATACTTAGTAAGTGAGCAACTTGTCGAAAACAAACAATTACTGCGTCCATACTTGTACCTAAATATGCAAGTGGAGCGTTTTTAAATTTCGATTTTTATTATTTTCGGGTGGTAAATCTTAGAATTTGGAGCATCACACAACCGACAATTTTTTTTGTTCCCACCCAATCGAATTACATAAGTTCTACCCCTTCTCCCGCAAGCAGAACATCGTACACACACAAGTCATGAACACCTGATCGGTGTTCGGCAGGAAATATACGGAGCTCGGATTCGAAATTGTATCAACTATAGAAAATTTGCTTGTAGTCATTAAACCCACACCAGGTGTGTTTAATGCTGGGCCCTAAGGATGCGGGAAGGCACCTTTGCTTTGTCCAACTGCTGGTCCCTCCAACGTCGGAGGGAGCGATTTTGACGAGAAACAGTGCTTTGGGTGTTG